ACATCTCGCGATTCAATCTCAGTAATACTTCCATCCTCTAATTCACCAATGAACACATACCCTTTGGAGTATTCTTAAAGATACATTTCTTGCATTTTGGACCTAATTTACCAAACTTGCTAATCTTTTACGTATGCAGCACAACACCAAGGTCGTAAATCCTTTAAGTTTGGTTTATGACCAGTCCATAGCTCATAAGGAGTGGAAGGAACTGATTTAGAAGGCACTTTGTTCAATATGTAAGTTACAGTCAATAACGCATCTCCCCAAAAGGAGATAGGTAAATTTGCCTGCGCCATCATGGACCTTATCATGTCCAGTAGTGTCCTATTCATTCTTTCTGCTACACCATTTTGTTGAAGTTTGTATGGAATAGTTAACTGTCTGGTGATTCCCTTTTCATTGCACAATCCTTCAAATTCTTTTGAAAGATATTCACGCCCTCTATCGGTTCTTAAGGTCTTAATCCTTTTGTCTAATTGATTCTCAACTTCATTCACATATTTCGTAAAGCATTCAAGTGCTTCAGATTTATGAGAGATCAAATAGACATAACCAAAGCATGTGAAATCATCAATGAACGTAATGAAATATAAAGCACCAGACCAAGCCCTCACATTCATTGGACCATAGATATCAGAATGGATTAATTGCAATGGAAAATCAGCTCTCTTAGCCTTTCCAAATGGTTTACGTGTAATCTTTTCAGCAAGACAATTTTCATAAGTTGGCATTTCAATTTTAGAGAAAGGACCTAGATGTCCTTCCTTAGCCAATCTATTCATTCGATCCTGCCCTATGTGACCTAATCTTGCATGCCATGTAATAACATCAACATCATTGTTACTAGAATAACATGCCATAACACAACGGTCAACATAATAGTTATACGTAGAATGATTACAATCTAACACAATAAAACCATCATAACGATGTCCAAACCATAAAAAACATTGTCTTAAGTAATTCTAAGACCACTGCGACTAATGTTCAAATTGAAATCTAAATCTAGAAGAACAGACACAGATACTAAGTTTCGTAGAATCTCTGGAACATATAGGACGTCATGCAATATCAAAGATCGGCCACCACACATGTCCATTTTGCAAGTGTCTATCCCTTTGACTTCAAGCTTTGCATTGTTTCCCACATATACATGCTTTGATCCAGGTGTAACTCGACAAAACTCTATAAACGCTTCTCTATCGCAGCTCACATGGTCGGTGGCCCCTGAGTCTACAATCCACACAAGATAAGATTCAGTTAGTAAAACAGTTCTATAAACATATATTGCACTAAGAGATGCGCTTTGAAATGCTACCTTTTTCGGCTTAGTGCACTCACGAGCAAAATGCCTTGGGACTTGACAATTGTAACACTTCATCTTGCTCTTGTCTTTCTTCTTGTAGAACCATTTTCCTTTCTTGGAATTTGGCTTGTTTCTTTTCTTGGAGGGTCCTTCTCCGGTCTCCTTACTCTTTCCGTCATTTTTCCAGTTTCTCTTGCGCTTGAAGCTTGATTTCATTGTACCACTTGATTTTGCTACAAAGGCATTAGGTACAGCTTTAGCAACACCAAACCGCTCGTCTTCAAGATCCACATGACGGGCAACATCAGCAAAAGTTTTGATGCTATCATTATGGGTCAAATAAACCTTCAAATGTTCCCAATTATTAGGAAAAGACCGAATCACTGCCTGAACCTGCTTCTCATAAGAGAGAACATGGCCATCACTTTTGAGTTGAGCAATCATATTTGACATCACCCTTAGATGTTTCTTAACACCGTGATCATGACGTTTTTTGTACGTGTCAAACTTGATTATCAGTTGTCGAAGGAGAGTCACAGTCGTACCCCCATATGCCTCTTTTAAATGTGCCCACATGGATTGAGCAGTAGGATATTGCTCACATTCGTGGATGAGATCATCAACAACTGAACTTACAATAATTCCACGTGCAGTGGAATCTTTCTTTTCCAAACATTGTAAGTTTCCAGATCCCTCATGTGTTGGACAGTGTTACCCTCCTCTGGGTGACTCATAACATGGTTAATACTTTCAAGAGCATCTTGCACTTCGAGTACATACCACATCTTACGACTCCAGATATCGTAAATTTCACCATTCAGTTTGTCACCCTTGTTCAAGTCGGCAATGATACTTTTTGATGCCATGTCTGTTATTAGAGATAATTTTACAAGTTTAACTCATCAATATATACTTCAGTTAATTTATGCATGTGATTACACACTCAAGTAAATTAATTATAATATTAATTCTACATTTGGTATAGAATCGAACGGTCAGTACATTTTCATTAATCATCTATATCTAAATATTTTTAATTAATATTAAAATCACTTCTTAGTTTGTATTTTACTTCAAGTCGCAATCTATTACAAAAAAAATATAATAAACAATGTATGTAACTGGTGAGACAAATAATATAATATAAATTTTGTTAAGATAAAATACATAATAACAATTTACATGTTTGCTAGGATCCATATACCAATCGAACACTAACTCTTGCTCATATACGCTAAAAGGTGCACTAGGCCAAACATCATGATAAATCTCAGTTAAAATTTCACCCCAAGGCTCTCGAAGAGAGTCCGCTAAAATAGCTAATGCTTCCCAATGAGTAATTTCTACGTAATTAGCCAATTCAGCTCTTTTTATCTTAAAAAGGTGTACATGTTCAGGAATGGAAAGATCATAGCAAATTTTAAATTCCTTAAGCTCCCTAAATTTCATTTCTTTTTCCCTTCGTGCAGCCCTTCGAACCGTTAACTCATTTTGCCTCGCCCTTGGGACATTCCTGATGACTTCAGGCTTAGAGTCTAAATCATTATAGAAATAAGTCCTGCGACGGTGTATCCTTTTACGTTGTCCCTTTCCTTGACTTCAAGAACTCCCACTTGGAGTAATTCGAACTTGTCCTTCTTCAGCCATATTTGAAATAGGACCAAGGAAACACTTAGAACGGCTACAACCATTCATTGTGACAACATACGTCACAATAACTCGTAGAAGTATATCATTTAAGGGAATATGACCAAAAAAATTGTACTATATTCTAAAATAACTTGTTAAGACAAAAGATAGAGAAAGAATTTGCTGCAATTAATCAGAAACACTTTCAAAATTATGTCATTTATAGTGACCATAATTATTTTTGGAATTGATTGATAGTTTTTGTGCAGTGATTCAATATTTCTTAAAACCACCGATTCATGTATGTTGTTCACAATATTTAAATAAAACTACATTGATCACTGGCCACCATACTTGAGAAACATTTTGCTCCATACGTGTCAAGTTCTGTTCTGTTAACATGACAATCAGAATATGTGTCTATATTTCAACTTTCTAAAGCAAAGTGGGGAAGATATGGAAATCATTTCCAACACATATAAGTAAATATGCAAATATGTAATGCTATCCAAGTGGCAAGAAAAATTTCACATGCCAAAGATAACATGGCAACTTTCACATGATGAGGCTTTATATTATATTATATGTAATAAACTTCCAATAATGCAGATAAAGCTGTCAAGCCATGGTGATCTCACATAAATTCAATTTAATTTTTGAAACCTTTGTTTAAGTTCCGTTGCAAACAACAATACGGTAAAAGAATACTTTTTAATCTCAAACTCTGTCAATAGCGGCAAAAATTCTACACACAAGATCCTTTTAAAAAACAAACAAACAAACAGATTGTTCCTTTTTATGGCACCAACCAGAGCCGTCTCCCAATAAGAATAAAATTTGCAGCGGAGAAAGCAGAGTACGGATACAACCACGCTCTGATACCATTGTTAGATTAATAATTGCGGGGCGAGAACAATATTAGCGTACCTATCAATGCAGTGGAAGAATTGTTGAACTTACCATCGAAATAATTGCCCCAAACTGAACTTTGAATCACTAGGAAACAAAGTTAATCTTCCACCAATTAGATGCCCTTACTTGTGTGTATTTTTCGTTGGGAGAAGAAGAGATTCAGAGAAAATTCTTACTGTACGTAGTTCTATATTTTCTCCTCCACATAAGTAGGCTGAGAAATATTGGTTAAGGAAGATAACCCACCACTCACCCCTTTTTGCACGTTCAGTTTAGTGGGTGTTTGTGGTCTAGTGGTAACTTCCCTTAACCTCTCTCCCTTATCTCTCCTAACCGAGTCGGGTCAGCCCACATGGAGCGACCCATGACCCATAATCCAACATGTAGCACAATCTTTGGGGTGCGCTCCTTCCCCGATCTCGAAGTCCTGTTTGAAAGGCAGTTGCGAGAACCTGTCTAGATTGGACCTTGCGTGACACAAAATACTTTGTACACCGGGATGCCCTTTTTCTAATCTTAATTCATTTGGGATTTTTTGCATTATTCTGACTTCGTTTTCTCATTTCTCCTTGTTCAACTCATGTGGCCTATGCTAAATAAATTGTGTATATCTACAAAGGAGTCAAAGTCTTTATATTACTAAAAAATTTATAAATGATTGGTAACTATCAGTCTGGTAGTAAAAGCTGTAACAATAGGTATTCTTTGTATTGTGTTAGCAAACTTAGCTACAAGGTTAAGGAATATGTAGATTGCCATTTAAAAAAGACAAAAAAAACATCTTATAATGTAATTTACAAGTCTAATTTAGTAAATTTGACATATAAGTTGTAGTGAAATCGTGCTTTTAAAATAAAACGCCTTTCAAAAATATGATTTATAATCGGACAAAAAGCAAATATTTATTTTAGATTGTATTTGCCAAATGTGACTTATACATCGATCTATATAGATTGGAGTTGGAAATGCGAGTTATGAATTTGTTAAATACGACTTACAAGATGCATTTGTCAATGCGACTTATGTAATGCAGTACATGATAAATCGCATTCACCAAATGCATCTTATAAATCGCATACATCAAATGCAACTAACGAGCTGTCATAATTAGAGAAACTTTAATGTAATTCTTTTTTTCATTTAACTGTAAATTAATGAAATCCCAATAACGACCCCATCACCGACTTTCAACCCCCCTCTTTCTCTCTTCGTCAAAATTTCTGAGCAAAGACACAGAGATTTGCTTTTGAATCTCCCAAAAACCCTATGCGGAGATAGGGTTATTGGAGTAAAAAGTGGATCAATATTTTTAATATGGCATTTTCATGGCGTTTAATCGGACTGTGCATTCTTCTTCTATCATCAATCGCTACCGGCGATGATGATATCTCACGCGCCGCCCCTGCAAATTCCTCAACCTCCTGCAACAATCCTTATCGATTGGTAAATTTTTTTATTCTTTCCTATTATTCAGATTCCTTCCGCTCATAATTTATTCGCAAAAAGAAAATGGTGGCAGTGGTGGATAGAGAGTATCTAATCAATTATTATGTTAAAAGTAACTAAAATTTAAATTTTGAGCTCATAGTTTCAAAAATGTAATAGGTCCTACAGTAATAAGCTGAAGGTTGAACTTATCAAATTTAAATCCGGTATTTGACTCTGCCTGGAGGTAATTATGTGGAAACGTTGTTGGGAGAGAGGTTTCTCTTGTATTTTTCGAGTTTTAGAAGGCATAGTTTATTTGAAACCAAATTATTTGGATTGAAATGGGTCTAAATAGAACATAATGAATATAAAGCAGTGCCAGTGCCACAAATTCATACAAGGGGATTTAAAAAATTACTAGTGTGTCACATTCAGGATTTGAACTTGTGATCTAGGCAATTCTGAACCGCTTTACCACTACACATTATAATCTTTCTTACCGATAAAAGAACTACACTAGAATCTTTATGTCAGGAGATTCAACATTTCATATATAACCAAAAAATTTTGTTTTACCCTATTTGCGCAGTACATTTTTTTGTCGAAGGGGATTAAATTGAAATCCCTTATCTCCCTTTAGCTCCACCAATAATATAGAGTATTCATGTAGCAAACACTGACTAGTTCGGGGCGAAGATCAAGAATTTCTAATAGAAAGTAAAATTGGTTGGTGGGCTGTTAAGCCCCTTATCACAGATAGTTGAGAAAGTGAGTTGTTGTTACTGTTGTTATCGTTTTGTCTTAAAATTACTCTATAGGGTATTGCAATGATCGTACAAGGTTGCTGCTACCCTGATAATGAGAACTTGTAGCCAAATTTGACCTATCTTTTAATCAACATCTAATTCTGAGGTTTTAGTTTGGCGGGAGTATCATAAGGTTCACAAAGTTTAGTAGTATGAGTTATGCACAAGCAGAGTCTATTAATGAAATGGTTATGGAGATCTAACATGGAGGAAGATGCCTACTGGAGAAAGATAATTAACTCTAAGCATGGAATACAAAATAATTGGTATAAAGTTTACTTCCTTACCTTCTGGAGTAGGCAGGCCCCCGGAGGTACATTTGCAAAATGGGGGAAGACTTCAAGGAGCATATATACTTTGAAGTAGGAGATGGAACGAAAATAAGATTTTGATTAGACAAGGTGGGGAAATAATACATTAAAAGATGCATTTCCCAGCATATTTCCAAATGATCTACTCTTGTGGCAACTATTACTGATTGTAGAGATAATACTGGGTGCCATATCATTAAGAAGGAATTGTCAGGATTGGAAAGTCAGTTGCTTGGCAAGGCTAGTAGACAAACTGGAACTGGAAAATTTGCAAAGACAAAGCATGGATAGAATCTGATGGAATGGGAACAACAGAGTTATTTTTACAATTGAAGTTGCTACCAGGTCTTGACAAACACAGGAAATATTGTACAGTCTTGGGATCTTGACCATGGAAAGGGATATGGAGAATTAAAGCTCTAACCAAGGTGATTTGTTATAGAGCTGGATAGTGATGTACGAAGCTTGGAAAAACAAGACAACTTGATGAAGAGAGGATTTAACCTTTCAATATGCTTTCTATGTAAAGAAAGGATTTTTCTTGCATTGCCTGGTGGCCAAGGAAATTTGTAGCATGTTCCTAAACATGTTTTGAGTTCAACAGGTGATGCCAATTAGTCTTGAGGAGGCTTTTGTATGCACTATGCCAGTGCCTAAGGAAAGTGGAGAAAGAAAGAAAAAGATATGGCAAGCAGTACCAAATTTTATATTTTGGACACCAAGAAAGGAATGCAAGATACTTTGAAGAGACCTCTACTATGCTTGTAACCCTGTACTAAAAGCGAAATGCCTCTTGAACCTTTTTTTGGGTGTAAACATACGGATGTATCTGATGTAAATATGTTTGTGGACTTCATTGGATCCTTGAGTTCTGCATAGGAGCTATTAACACTTTTGAAATTATGCTTCTTTTGGATGCCAGCGTTAATAAAAGTATCTTTACTTCATCAAAGAAAAAACAAAAGAGCAGTACAGAGAAAGTCTATGTGCAACCAATCCAATGAGAAAAATAAAGGTCTAGAATTGGGAGATTCATACCATCACCGAGTTGTATGAATGTGAAAACAGGTGTCATTATTTGAGTTACATCTTCGAATTCGACATAAGGTAGCCTAACTAGTTTTAGATTAAGATGTAGTTGATCGATTATTTGATTGGTTATTTCTGTATCTGTTTCTTGGTGATTTGGGAGTGTGAGGGGTGCTTAAGAATTAGGAAGTTGGGTTCTAACGATTTCATGTCATGCCTTCTTTCAAAAGATGTAAATTTTAATGACTACGAGAAGATTGAGTCAGTCCTTTTGTTGTTGTGACACGGTATTCTTTGCTTTAACTCTGTTATGCACCTCTGGAAACATACTGAGTTATTTCTTCATACCAAGTTACTTCTTTCTTTTTGTACAGGTTCTGGTAAAGTTGTGGATTGATGGTGCTGAGCATGAACAAATGGGTGGCTTAAGTGCGGCATTTGGGTCTCTTTTACCTACTAATATTAAAAATACCCCCAGACTGCCTGCTACATATACAAAACCCTTGAATGGCTGTTCTAGTTCCTCTTCTAAGGTATTTATTCCAGATTCCTGACAATGCCTTTATTCTTAGGTAAATAGCCAGCATCTCAGAGGCTTTTCAATTCGTCATCTGTAACTTTTGGTTGCAATTCTTACTTTGACATATGAAGAAGGTTTACTTTTGTTATACATTGCATAAAGCAGAGATTTTTGTTTACTTTGGTCTAGTTATCAGGGTCTATTGCACTAGCTCTTCGCGGTCAATGTGATTTTCTAACGAAGGCTGCGGTTGCACAAGCAGGAGGTGCTGCAGGGATTGTGATGATAAATGATCAAGAAGGTTGTCATCCATGACTCATTGCCATTTCAGTTCTTGTTTTCTTTTAGTTTTTGAGTTTTTACTTTTTTTGGTGATTTTGTCTCCCCCATCTCTTCCAGAAATGACACTGCTTTTTCCTGCTATCCTTTAGATCTTTTGGAGATTACTTGTCCCGACAATTCTACGGTATCAAACATAACAATTCCTGTTGTGACCATTTCAAAAGCCGGAGGAGATGTCATTGACAAATATATCTCTTCGGGAAAGAAAGGTAAAGTCTTGGCTTCGTGTATATTAGCTCCATTTTCTGTCAAGGGTTAACTTTCTGTTGATTCTAGTTCTGGTTTTCAACGTATCTGGTATCTTAGGATATGACTTATACTTTTTTACAGTAAATACATTGTTATTCACCAGTTTCAATTGTCCATGTAATATGTAGTGCGATTCTTGTGTCACTGTACAGAGTATGTCTTACAAAAAGCTGTTACACATTTCCTTTTTTCAGGATATGATATGATCCATATTTATATGACATGCATGCTTTGCAGGGGAAATTTTCTATTTACATGTGTGCCTTCAACACTGCTGAAGTGCGAAATTAGTATTTTTGTTGTGCATGCCATTGTTACTTTGGTGCTATCTCCTTGTACTTGTGTCTACTAATTGAGTGCCATTTACCTGTTAGAAAGACCAATCGAGTAACATCAAGCTGGCCCAAATGATTTGAGACTATATGAGAAGTCTCATCTCACAAGGATGGCCGATAAATAGATTTTGGATGCTATATAAGCGATATAAGAGGTTCAGTTTGAATGACTGATTCAGTGTTCTAGAGATCTCTGCTTTTCATCTCACTTCATCCTCATTTTTAATGCTCAGTCATCAGATGATGTGGTTCAGGAAGTTCTGAAAGGTAAAAGGCTAGTACTGCTTAATTGGTTAAGGTTTCAAGTCATCGAAAGGGCTTTAGGAGTATACGACAAATGTAAAACTGGGAATAAACACAGATTTAAAGGTTTTCAAAGTTGGTTTTTTGCTGCTGCGGAAAATCTTGGAGATCAGATGATGCTCATGACAGAAGGATCTGGTTTGGGCTCCAGGAGAATTGGGGTAGTTTGTAAAAGTTGAAGTGAGAAAGGAGATATGGAAATTTGAGAAGTTAGGTTTTCGGCACAATGGGTTGAAGGATTTGAGTAATATGATTTTTTCGGCAAGTGTTTCGTTGAAAGAGGTATACAGCAGTAGAAAGACTACACAAAAGGTTGACTTTTTTCACAAAAACATCTCATCATCTATACAGGGTGTGTTATTCAAAAAGATTCAAGACTAAGAATGTCTCTAGGACCTATGAGAAGGGCTTCTCGATTCCTGGTAAAGCCCGTGGTTACGTTCACTTTGAACAGACAATACACATGAGTGCCGAAGCAGGACCTCCTGAGCAACCTCCAAAGCTCTGGTGGAAAATTTTGAGTATTAATTACCATTTCAAAGATAAAAATACTGAATATTCAGAGGCGGATCCAGGATTTCAAGATGACGGGTGCACTATTGTTAATTCATCGATTCTCAGTATAAGCTGAAGATTTGATTTTGGGATTCAAATCCAACGATGAGAAGAGAGAGAAAGAGAAGAACAAATATCTGAGAAGAGGAAAATGAATTTCTTATTAACCTTGTTGTCCAGAATGTTCGAGTATATACAAATGAATCACTAAAATGAAAAATGAGCTGGATATACATAAAAGCCCAAAACTAAGTATGAAACTATGAGGCCCAATAGTTAATACTCTTAGCTATTGTCAAGAGGCCCAGTATTGTCACCACCCCCCCTCAAGCTGGAGGGTGTAGACACTCCAAGCTTGCCTAGAAACTGATGATGCAGAGGACCATGGAGAGCCTTGGTCAGCATGTCAGCACGTTGAGCAGAACTAGGAACAAACTGAAGAGATATCAACCCAGAGTGTAGGCTGTCTCGAACATAGTGACAATTAACTTCAATATGTTTGGTGCGTTCTTGAAACACGGGGTTCTTGGCAATGTGCATAGCTGCCTGATTGTTACAAAATACAGAAACAGGGGTAGAAATAAGAAGACCCAAATCGCCAAGCAAACAAGTTAGCCAAGAAACCTCAGTCACAACCATTCTCAATGCTCTATATTCAGCCTCAGCTGAAGAAAGAGAGACAGTGGGTTGCTTCTTACTCTTCCATGAAATTGGATTGCCCCCAAGAGTGATGTAAAACCCAGTCACAGATCTTCTTGAAATGGCACATGCAGCCCAGTCAGAGTCTGAATATGCCAGAAGTGAAAAATCAGAGCTGGCTGTAAGTAGAATACCCTGAGCAGGAGCATTCATCAGGTATTTAAGGACATGTAGGGCTGCCAGCATATGGGGAATATGTGGGGCTTGTAAAAACTGGCTGAGGTGCTGCACCGAAAAGGATATATCAGGCCTGGTGTGCTGCAAGAAATTGAGTTTGCCAACCAACCGCCTGAAAGTGGTAGGATCAGGCATGGGATCATGCATGTCAGGAACCAGCTTCACACTCGGATCCAAAGAAGTGGTAATAGGTGTGAAGTGGTCACAATGAAATTCAGAAAGTAGGTCAGAAGTGTATTTATGTTGAGTCATAAGATAACCTTGGTCATGAGGGGTAACTTCCAAACCCAAGAAGTAATGCACTGACCCCAAATCCTTAATCTTGAATTGAGCATCCAGGAAAGCTTTCAAAGCATTCAACTCATCAAGGTCATCACTAGCTAATAGAATGTCATCCACATAGACAGTCAGAACCACCAAAGAAGAACTAGAAGACTTGATAAACAAAGAGTAGTCATTTTTGCTGGACATGTAGCCCCTAGACAGCAAGGATTCAGATAGCTTGGCAAACCACTATCTGGATGCTTGCTTGAGGCCATAAAGTGATTTCTGAAGCTTACACACCAAGGGAGGACAGGTAGAAGAAGAGGGAGAGACTTCCAAACCAGGAGGAACCTTCATGTAGATCTCTTCATGGAGATTACCATGCAAAAAAACATTGTTGACATCCTATTGAAAAACAGTCCAACGTCTTTTCACAGCTAGAGTGAGAAGGCATCTGATAGTAGTGAGTTTAACAACAGGGGAAAAAGTCTCAGTGTAGTCAATACCTTCCCTTTGTGTGTCCCCTCTTATGACAAGTCTGGCCTTTTATCTTTCAATAGAACCATTAGATTTCTGTTTAATCTTATACACCCATTTGCAGGGAATAGCCTTCTTATGAGGAGGAAGGGGAACAATGTCCCAAGTGAGGTTAGCTTCAAGTGCTTGAAATTCCTTTAGCATGGCCTCTTGCCAAGCAGGATTTGAAACAGTATGTTGGTAAAATTGAGGCTCATTCATGTGTAGTTTATCACTAGGGACCTGAGGAGACATAGAAGCAGAAAAAGAAGAAGGAATAAGAGAAGAACAAACATAGTCTTTAAGGTATGTGGGAACCTGAACAAGCCTGCCAGACCTCATAAGTTCAGGAACTGGAACAGGAGGAGGAAGAGGGATGGGAATGGGAGCAGGAATAGGAATAGGAACAGGGGAAATAGAAGGTGCATCAGAAGGGGAAACCTCAATAGGAACAGATGGGGAAACCTCAACATAATCAGAAGGGGGAGGGAAAGTAGGAGAAGGAGAAGGAGAAGGAGAAGGGGAAGGGGAGTGATAAGGAAAAATATGTTCATACAAAACAACATCTCTAGAGAAAAAAATAGAAAAGGATGACACGTTAAGTAATTTGTACCCTTTTTTCCCACAAGGGTACCCTAAGAAGACAACAGAGATAGATCTAGGTTGGAACTTATCCCTGCCAGGCTTAGGACTGGCTGCATGACAGAGATAGCCAAAGGACTTCAAATGATCATAAGAGGGAGCATGATTATGCAGTTTCTCAAAAGGTGATATATTGTGTAGGACGGTGGAGGAGATTCTATTAATGATATAAGTAGCAGTGAGAACACATTCACCCCAGTACTTGAGAGGGAGTTTGGATTGGAATAAAAGTGCCCTAGAGACTTCTAAGAGATGTTTGTGTTTTCTTTCAACAATACCATTTTGTTGGGGAGTGTGAGGAACAGTGGTTTGGTGAAGTATGCCATTATCAGCAAAAAATTATTGGAGTTGAGAACTACCCCCAGTTCATAGGCATTATCAGACCTAAAACATTTAATAGAAGAATGATATTGAACTTTCACCACTTGAATGAAAGCTTTAAGAATTGAAATGGCATTGCTCTTGAGAGGAGATGTGTCCATGTCACTCTAGTAAAGTCATCAACTAGAGTGAGAAAATATCTAAAATCATTATAAGTTTGAGTGTTGTAAGGGCCCCAAATATCAATGTGAACAAGTTGGAAAGGAAGAGAAGAATGTATAGTACTATCAGGAAATGGAAGCCTATGTTGTCTAGCCATTGGACAAACATTGCATAAAAATGGTTGTTTAGATGACACTTTATTGGACAGAAATGAAATAGATCTCATCTTGGCAAAGGGAATGTGACCTAATTTTTGATGCCAAAACAAATCATCTTTATTACCAACAACAGATGGATTACAAGATGAACTATGAGATACAGAATGAGCAACAGAATCTGAAACAACATTATTGCTAGGAACAGAAACAGAAACATTAGACTGAGTAGAAGAAAAAACAGAACTAGGAACTAACAAAGGAAAATGAGAGTCAGCTGAATGCAGGAAGTATAGTCCATTTGCAGCCTTACCAATTTTCAGAGGCCTCCTCAGAGAAAGGCCCTGTAAAATACAACTATAAATGGTGAAGATTGCAAGGCACTTGAACTGAAGAAATAACTTGTGTACAGAGATCAAATTGAAATGGAATGAGGGAACTAATAAGACATTATGCAAAATCATATCTGCCCTAAGAGTCAAAGAACCAGTAGATATGACTTTTACTTTATATCTATTAGGTAGAGTAATTAGAAAAAGTGTTACTAAAGGTTTAAGGTTGTGAAGTAAGTGTTTAATTGGTGTCATGTGGTTGGTGGCACCAGAATCTATGATCCAAGGGTTTAAACCTAAATGTGAGACTGCACATGCATGAAAAGCTGAATGCACCTCAGGGTGATTGTACACACCTGCAAAGTTGGCAAATCCTGCATTTCCAGTGTAACATTTTCAGAATGAAGAGTGGGAGATGTATGGACTTGTTGAAGTAGAGTCATGAGATGTTGATATTGTTCTTTGCTGAATCCATGACCGTTGTCATCAGAGGAACTTGGTTTGGTAAAGGCAGAGTCCAGAAGATGACCATCAGACTGAACACAAGCTGCAGACTTCCTGTTCTTGGTAAACTTAAAATCTGAAGGGAATCCATGTAGCTTGTAACACTTATCAATGGTGTGTCCAGACTTCTTACAATATTTGCATGAAAGGTTGGAAGATGAACTAGAACCTTTCTTTGCATCAAATTGGACCCTCTGATGAAAACCTCTAGAAGTGTTCATATGACCAGCTGAAGCATTGAAGGAAGTAGAATCATGAGAGAAACCATGGACATGAGCAGAGGTCTCTTTCTATTTCTCATCATGTTGTAGCATGGAGTATGCTTTGCTCAGGGAAGGAAGGGAAGGCGTCATAAGGATGTTGCTTTTGTAGGTAGAATAAGACTCATTCAGACCACTGAGGAATTGATAGATTTTCTGCTCTTCAATGAATTTGGGTTTGGGGAGAGCACCACAGGAACAAATAGGACCAACATAAGCTGTACTAAGCTCATCCCAAAGACCTCTCAGTTTGGTAAAATAGGTAGCAATATCTAAATGACCTTGGGAAGTAAAGTTGAATGTACTTAGAACCATTGGAAGTCCCAAATCTCTCATTAATGTCAGTCCATATATCCTTAGCAGTGTCAAAACACATTACACTATTGGCTATATTCCTAGACAAAGAGTTTGTTATCCATGCAATGATCATGTCATTACACCTTTCCCAAAAATGATAGTAAGGAGAGTTAAATTCTGGTTTGGATACCCTACCAGTAATGAGACCTAACTTGTTTTTAGCAGAAAAGGCAGTAAGCATATTTTTGCGCCAAATGACAAAGCCATTGCCATCAAAGGGAGGGGACACCAGGTGAGCACCCGAGTGTCCGAGGGATGTATATAGAAAGGATGAGAAGGAGGTATAGTAAAATAATCAAAACCATCAGTTGTAGTTGACGAACTCACTTCAGGACTTCCCATTTCAAAACCCTAGTTAGGTCAATTTTGTACAGAAAAAAATAAAATTGGTATCTACCAACACTTCAATCCAAATTGAGTATGAAAAGATGTTACCGTCCTTCTTTGCAACCTAAAGAAGAGAGGCCTTCAATTTTACCAGAAGAACAAAAAAAACGACCGCGACATTTGATACCACCGGTACAATCGGAAATTGGGAATGAACTACTCCACTGAATCGAGTCACAACATTTACCAGAGAAATAGCTCACAATCTCTGAAATCATCTAACATTCGTCACTTTATGCCCAAATCGACCAAAATCGAAGAAAACCCCCAGATTTTCTAGCAATGAAAAACTTCAATACGGAAAGGAACTAGAGAAACAGACATCGTCAGTGGATGTGTGGAGCCATAAACAATCAATGATAGGCTCTGATACTATGTTAATTCATCGATTCTCAGTATAAGCTGAAGATTTGATTTTGGGATTGAAACCCAACGATGAGAACAAAGAGAGAGAAGAACAAATATCTGAGAAGAGGAAAATGAATTTCTTATTAACCGTGTTGTCCAGAATGTTCGAGTATATACAAATGAATCACTAAAATGAAAAAATGGGTCGGATATACATAAAAGCCCAAAACTAAGTATGAAACTATGAGGCCCAATAGTTAATACTCTTAGCTATTGTCAAGTGGCCCAGGATTGTCAACAGAGAAAGGTGGATCTAGAATTTACATTAGATGGGTTTAACTTTAGTCTCTTACCATGAACCCATTAAACTTTTGAAGTTCAAAATTATATTCTTCTTGAAATTTTAGTGATTTTCACATATATATCTATACTTCGTGCAAAAAACAAGACCATCCGAAGTCGGATTTGAACCGCCAATTTTGTAGAGGTGCACCCAATAATTATTACACCATAGGAGTCTTTAAGCATGAGTGCACCCACATATATTTAAGTAATTTCAAAGAAATATAACATTGTTATACATGGTTAAGGAAAGAAGTATGGGTTCACGTGAACATAAGATTTTTTGTAAAGATTAAAAAGTTGCCTAGGTGGCTTTCATGGGAGAAAAAAGTTATCAGAGGGTCATCGATTAGAGTGGGCTGGATTAGTCTTGAACTAATATGATGGATTAAGAATATCAGGGTGCATACTAATCACGGAGACTGGGATGAAAAGACATCCTCCATATGGTAAGTAATGGTATACAACTGGCTTTGATGACGGGATGACTTGGTTCTTAAACACTGACTGAGGATAGAATATTCATGCTCACTAATGACAATGTGCATTTAAACTATATAGTAGTGGCTTCTCTTGCTACTCTGTCCATTGTGCATTTGTCATCATGCTTGTTTTAATTTTTATTATCTCTTGTTGTTCCTCTGTTCTTGAATCGTGGAAGAATTACAACATGACAGGCATATTTTCTCTTAATGCAGTGGAGATTCTGTTGTATTCGCCAGATCGCCCCATTGTGGACTACTCAGCCATGTTCATATGGCTGATGGCTGTTGGCACAATTTTTTGTGCATCCTTTTGGTCGGAGCTTACTGCATCTGAGGAAAGCAATGACTATGAACAGGCACCAGAGGTTCCAAAAATATGCATCCTGATATATCTTTACATTTAATTTATACAGCCCTTTATGTTTTTACAGAGTTAATTAGCAATGCTCTGCTCGTTTTAATCAACTTTTCATACTGTATCTTGAAGTTAATATCTTAGGTTTTAGGCTGCTGCATTGTGTTGGATTTTGGAGTTATACACTTAAGAATAGCTGCAGCCTTTCAAAAGTTTATCTACCACATCACCAAAATATCCAGGAAGGGACACACGTATATCCAATGTTCACTCATAGTCAATACATAATATATTCTTTTATCAGTCAAAAGAATTTCATTGAGGTCTATTGGAAATCATTTCAGAGGATCTTCTTTATAAAAAATCGAGGGTCTTTCGGAAACAGCCTCTCTACTCTTCGGAGTAGGGGTAAGGTCTGCGTACACACTACCTCCCCAGACCCCACTAGTGGGATTTTAGTGGGTTGTTGTTGTTGTTCTTTATCAAAAATTGTTTCAGAGGATCTTTTGGAATGGTCAAGCATATATTGCTTTGTTTCATTTGTATTATTACGAGATTGTGCCCTCTTTTAGCCCTTTTGTTGTTTTGATGAAGTAAGTGATACTAATAAAAGGCATCCAGAAGATGAAAAATACAATGGTAGCAATAAAGTTAGCTCCAGAATAATGTCTATGCCAGAATGAGCGACCTAACAGAATCCAATGAGTTATCAACACATTTAGCCCTTGTGTTTTCTTTTTGACTTAATGTAGTTCTGAGCTTTTGAAGCAGGAAGATGCAGCGGGATTACTTATTTTTCTTTGTTTAAAAGTTAATGCTGATTGCTGATAGGGTAAGTTGGACTCTAGTAGCACAGACAAGACACTCATTTATTTACAAGTCCTGTGACATGTATTTTTGCATATCGATTCTACTGGTAGGAAATTTGATTGCAACTTAGGTGAACCACTGGGAATTATTAGAGCATGAGAAGATGGGGAGGAAAAGATACCAAACAATTCTTTTTGGAAGAGAAAGTGAGATTCTATATGTTACCCAAGCCAAGGATGAATGAATATCTTGCATTATGGGTGAGTATGGTCCATTAAAGTGGAGAGGTATCAGGAGCAGAGTGGTGCTTAAGGCATTTTAGCTATGCATCCTGACATGACTGAAAGCTGTAAATTCTTCCCCGTTGAAGGAAAAGGAAAGAATGCAGATGATAGGTTCACGGCAATAAAAAACACTATCACTGGCGTAACATGTATTAGATTTGTTAAAATGTGCAATTCTTAAACAATGAACTGATGGCAATGGTACAGAATTCTTTGTCACTTGTCGTAATTTAATATATCTAGCTTGTTACAGTATATTGCTGTCTAGCAGGTGCTACATCTTTTTTTAAGTTTGGAGGTGATTTATGTTTCTTATTTGTATACCAGTGTCCCTTTTTTCCCATTCTTTTTGCTTTGAGTAAAAGATTCAGACAAATCACAATTACTTTTGATGATTAATGGCTGTCAGACTAGTTTATATGTTCTTCCTTTCTCATTTTTAGGTACATGCTGGAGGCGCCAGGGAGGAAGATGACAAGGAAATTCTTAATATCACTACAAAGAGTGCTTTCATATTTGTCATCTCAGCATCTACGTTTCTGCTGCTACTCTACTTTTTCATGTCGGCTTGGTTTGTCTGGCTGCTGATAATACTTTTCTCTATTGGTGGAGTTGAGGTACTCAAATAATTCTCTACTTTGACTTGATCACGAAGCCAAGCTAACTTGTTTTGAACTTGGTTAAGATAAAACCATCTCACTTTTTTAGCACTGCGTTTCTCTGCTCATGGTGCTAGTAGTTGACAGATTATTGGCCATCTATTTTGTACAAAAAAGGAGCACAATAATAAGCAAAGACAATGCCATCCACAAATTAACCACAAATAAGCCTTTCAAAACAAACCGAAACCAGAAACTGCACACAAACTGACCCAAGCAGTCAAATCAAACAGAAGCTGATTAATAAGCCAAAAATGAAACCAACTCCCACAAACCATACTAAACCTTCAATCACAATTTATGTTTCCAAAATGACCCACTAATTATAGTGTCCTTTCAGCTGATTAACTTATTAGTTATGCTGTACATAGCATTACCAGTTATATTGTAATAAAGCTAGGCTTTGTAAACCAAATTTAGTCAAGGGAATGCACCAACTGTTTCATTTATATTCTTTTTGTCTGGTTGAATCAAAGACAAAAGTCTATTTTTCCACGTTTGCTCATAAGAAGATTTAATGAAATTTTGTGCTGAATGCATTTTCTCTATGGTGCCTTACTCTTTAGAAGGGTTACCCTTCTCCAGCTCTAGAAAGATTAAAGTTTATGGATTCATATTGAGCATTTTTGCATTTTTATGCATCTTATTTGAATAGAACTTAGGTTTCTTTCAGTTTGGTTGATATTGTCTCTGCTTATTGACTTTTAATAGTTAATTTTTTCCTTCTCAGGGAATGCATAGCTGTATAATATCCCTGGTATCAAGGTATAATATTTCCAAGAATGATTTTCTGTCTGTCAGATTAATGTATGGAATAGATTTCTAATTAGCTCTTCTACTTTGTTTCCGACAATCTTGTGAGTAGCAAATGTAAAGGTTGTGGAAGGAAGACGTTGAATTTGCCGCTTCTTGGGGAAGTTTCTATTCTATCTCTTGTGGTCTTGATAATGTGCGTGGCATTTGCCATCTTCTGGGCAGCAACTAGGAAAGCATCATACTCTTGGATTGGCCAAGATATTCTAGTAAGCTCATTTGTAAAATTTCATGCATTGGTTTGCGTAATGGAACTGGAAATTTTTTTGGCACTTTAATCTGTATGTTGATACTATGAACTGGATAATATTCTACTCAAGCCAGTTATCTTGTTCTCTGATAAATATGCATCATAGTCACTCTTAACTTTCACTCTTCTAATATTTGCACTCTCAATTGCAATTAAAATTAAAGAACCCTTTTTATTTGCCAGGGAATTTGTTTGATGATAACTGTTCTGCAGTTGGCTCAGTTGCCTAATATAAAGGTCTGTTGATAGCTTCCATATGTTTTTCAATGAGAGGAGTTGGTAGCTTATTTTGCTTCACCGTGATTACTATTTTGCCTTAGGTTGCTACAGTGCTTCTGTGTTGTGCATTTCTCTACGACATCTTCTGGGTTTTCCTTTCACCTGCTATATTCCATGACAGCGTAATGATTGCTGTAAGTTCTCTCTTTAGCTACATCTTTCTCTCTGTACCGTTCATGAGACTTTCTATGTTGTGGTGACTGGTGAGCTCCCAATTTTAATCGTTATGTAGGATGTGTCATATCGTATATTCATATTTGTTTTGAGTAGTGTTTTTCCTACTTAATTCCTAAAAGTTTTATCGCATTTTTAACCTATATGAATATGGAAAAATCTGTCAGTTAAACAAGACTTCTAGTGAACACTGGTCTTAGACTCTCATTTGTATACAGCTGATTCTGGGCTCAAGCATTTGTGCCTCATATGAGATATTTGCATGCAATGACATAGCACGAGTACAACTTATCACCTAGCAGAACCAAGCTGGCTTGTTTATATATTAGATTCCTTAGTCCACTTGGCTGGTTTTGAAGGGTAGACCCTTGTGCTAGCAGAAAAATCGTTGGGAGTGTGTCATTTATCTCCTCCTGTTTGTTAGCGAGAAACTCAAATTCTGCATGTTGATTGGTTGAGTTCACTGTCTGTTTTATAAAAGTCATCGTTCTATGTTAGAGTGTTTAATTGTGTAGTAATGACTAATGGTTCAATCGTTTTATCATTTATATAGGGTTTAACCTTTTTGGCTATTTATTACTCCCTCCGTTCCAGTTTATGTGAACCTATTTCCTTTTTGGTCCGTTCCAAAAAGAATGACCCCTTTCTAAATTTGGAAATAATTTAGCTTAAACTTACAATTCTACCCTTAATGAGAAGCTTTTATAACCACACAAATACTCTGGGTCCCCTTTTAACTTGTTTAGGACCACAAATTCCAAAAGTCTTCATTTTTTCTTAAACTCCGTGCCCAGTCAAACAGACTCACATAAATTGGAACGGAGGGAGTAGGTTATATAAGGATTTACTGATATGATAATTTAAGCTTCAGTTTGAATTTTAGAACATGAGCATGCTCATATGTAACAATGATTGTTTTGATAAGGTATTTTATTCACAAAAGAACCAAGAACTTGGCTGGTGAGAAACAGAAAATCAAGTATAGCTCTATTCGAGTGAACTTAATTGAATAAAGAAAGATAAATTGAGTATCAAAGAGAGTAACCCGAAACCTGCAAGGAATAAACTTGATCAGAAGATATACATCAAATTTTCTTGAATTCTAGGACCTGCGGATCTCAAGAACATAATATTAAATAATTAACCTGAAGACTCATTGAAAGTTTTCTATAATTGATGTGGATTGTAGACATCTCACTGAAATGAAACTAAAGCATTTGATGGTTTTACACATGAATGAATGAAATGATTTTTGTGAAACTTCAGCAGAATAGTTAAAGATCATATAGATGTATCTAGGGGAGAGCTTAAATGTGCAACTATGTATACTTTATGTTTTAATGGTTCAATAATTGCTTTGCATTTTTTGCTATACGGCAGTAGTGTTTTGATTCGATTGTTTACTTCAATAAGCTGGAGTAATACACGAACTTGTGTCCTTCACTGTCACAGGAAGATGTTTTAGCTCTTAGAAGCTAACATCGAATTTTCTCACTAACATTTCTCGAGTTCTTCCCTTCTCATAGGTTGCCCGTGGTGACAAAGCTGGCGGAGAATCCATCCCAATGCTTCTGAGAGTTCCTCGAGTTTCAGATCCTTACGGTGGCTATGATATGATTGGCTTTGGGGATATTCTCTTTCCTGGTTTGCTGGTTTGTTTTGCTTTTAGGTATCCCTTTGTCCTTCATCCATCTTCCAAGCAAAATTTGTTACCCTCTCCCAAAAATGAAAAAGAACGAAACACATTGTCTAGGTGAAACAAGAAGTATATTCCTCTGTGTATTAGTTTTCTATCTTTGCTCTTCGAGGATATTCAGATATTACATGTTTATAGATAGGTTGAATAAAAATGAACTGTAGTCACGAGTCTTTTGATAATTGCCAATCTCTGTTCTCATATAATTTCTTATTAGTTATCAAAGTATCTCCAAGTATCTCGGTTATTGAAGAAAGAAAATGGTTCCTATGACAGTGAGTAAAATTAAGAAATTGATATTGGGGAAATGTGTTGGATGTAGAGCTGAAAGATGTTCTCAATGCTATGGTTGCTCACTTTAATGAGTCGACTACCTTTTCCCTTGTACAGAATTAAAGTTATTTAATATCCTTTCATCTGATGAATTCACTTCCTTTCTAGAAAAGGCAAGGAACCTCCTGTTAATCCTCTTTTCTATCTTTTTTGCAGATTTGACAAAGCTAGAAGGAAGGGTGTACTAAATGGATACTACCTCTGGATGATAGTTGGTTATGGAATTGGTGGGTACTTTGCTTAAGTATTATTTCTATCTGTTTTTAGCTACTTTGCTAATTTTGTTCTCCGACCCTTTTTGTAAATGATGTTACTCAGTTGCTTGAAACCATTAACACTTGGTAACACGCATAGAAATGCCTAAAAAGTGTGTGAAATATTAATATGTTTTAAAGCACATTTTTAACGAAATCAAAACCGATGTTGACAAGTAGAGATCCTGAAACCTGTATTTTTTTCCTTTTATCACTTGTTTAAAATTTCCTCCCCTACTCATTCCGTATCCTATTCCAAATCAACTTGGAATTCTTGCAGGTCTTTTATTCACGTACTTAGGTTTGTATCTAATGAATGGACATGGTCAACCTGCTCTTCTATATCTCGTGCCCTGCACGCTAGGTATGTCAGTTTTACGGCCTCTTGAACCAAAATTTGTGTTTGGTCGTTATATATCTTTTTTTCGTCGTTTTTAACCTTTATCTTTAGGAACTTATGTGGTGCTGGGATTGGTGAGGGGCGAACTTAAAGACCTATGGAACTACGACAGTGAATCAACAAAAGTTGCAGACTCACTATTGGAAGACGCTTGATAGATGAGAGAATTAAACATTAAATCTACAGACCCTGATAGTCGGGAGAAGAAATATTAAATCTACAAGCACAAGCCGTTGGTGTATTCTTTCCATGCTATTTGTATTAAGCTGTTCATAAAACTTAAAACTTTATTCAGGAAATTCTTGGCTGTGTTTCATATGTATATTTTCGTTTGCGACAATGTTTTTCTTTCAACTTTAGTTTCCACTGCAGCTGTTCTTGATTAGTATGTAACAATATCACAGCAATCATACAAAAGAAAAGTTATAATGTAACAGATTTAGTAGTCAAAATTTTCCCTATTATTCTGCAAATTGCTGTTTGATCATCTCATTTATTGTCCTCTAAACTGCTTTTCATTTGAAACACCTTGTTATTTGCTGACTGAATTACTTTACATCCATAGTACATACTCTTCGAGTAGCTATTTGTATTGTTTTTCTGTATTTTTGTTTTTTCAGTTAGGCAGTGGGTAATTAGTTTCTTGGCTCTGTAGTTAGAGACAAAATAGTTTATCGATTATAATCCTAAAGGGGAGAGACTGAATTTGCTGCAATAACAGTTTGAACTCCTCTCATTAGGTATTCATAAACCTCCATTTCATTACCCTTTTTCTAAGAAAAGCTATTTGCCCTGGGTCTTTTGTCTAGCGATAAAAGTCTGGTACTTAAAGTAGAAAGGCAGGCATAGGCCTCATTTGTTTCTTTTTTTTAAGGTTAAGACGTTTGAATTTAAATACATATCTGAATATCAATATGTGTATTAAGATTAAGACATTTGAATATGCATTTGAATATCAAGATGTGTATTAAGATCTGAATACTAAATGATTTAGACTGTTTTTTTTAACATCTGAATATAAAATTTATCTTTATTTAAAAATTAATAAATATAAAATTCAAATAAAATACTAACTAACTAAT